CTTTCTCATCTTGCGAGGGCCAGCGTAGGCCACCTCTCGGCAGTTGCCATCATAGGGGCTGCCGGGGTCCCGCCCCCATCAGTGCACCCATCCCTGAAGCCGTCATTAGCGCCGGAGGGTGCCGAGGCCCTCCCTGCGGCCCCTCGGCCAACGAAGACGGCCGTAGGGAAGGGCACCAACGTCCCTCGACGACTCAACCCAAATACCTTCGGGTGCCAGTTGCCACCAGGGAGCGTTTTCCTTCTCCTCCCTCCCCCCGTTCTCCTGTTTTGGAGTTCCAGGTCGGCTATGACACGCTTCCGCGGATAGCGAAACATCGTTGCAATGGGAGGGGGTGGGGGGGAGGGGTAGAGTGTCAGATCTGGCGCGAGCGCGCGTTGCTTGCCCCCCCTTCTCTCCCTCCCTCCTTTTTTCCTCCCCGAGATCCGACGTCGCGAAACACTTGCAAAATCGTGGGGGATTGCGACCAGACCCTCCCCCCGATATCATTCAGCGGCATCTCTCGACTCACATCGAAATGTGAATTTTCCAGGGCCAGGCACTCGTCGAAATCGCTGTGTTGGAATGAAATGCGACGCTTGGGGATCAGGGTGCGTCGGTGCCCGCTTTCTCCGGGATCAGGAAGAGGAATATCAGTTAAATCGAATATGCATCAACGATGCTGCAATACACCCTCTTGCTTGCATTTCCCTTATCATTAGTCCCTAAGGAATATTATTTATACTGCAGGACGTTTCCCGGGAAAGACGAGCACCCGATGGGCTTTCCACTCAAGCGAGAGTCCCGTCTTGAAAAGGGATTGTTTTGCATCCCTCTTGCGAGTTATTGGGAATGCGACGCGTTATGACCACAACGTTCAACGAGATGTCTTGCGACAGCCCCGTTTTGAAAAGAAGCCACCCTCCATCCGCGCAGCCGTAATAGACTTCGTTCAAGCTTCTGACCGTTACATTCGTGAGAGTTCCATTTTGAAAAGGTGCCGTCCAGCGTCCGTGAAGCAGTTGGCAATTGTACACGTATCGGTGATTTTGGAGTAGGTCTCAGGCGAAAACCCATTCTGAGAACGACTAACCTCCACTCGTGTACGAGACGGGGATGGTAATGGTGAGGATGGTGATAATGATGGTGATGATGGTTGTGGTGGTGGTGATGATGATGGTGATGCTGACGAATTTAATGATGCTGATGATGATGGCGACGGTGATGACGAAACTTGTGAGGATCATTTTGATGGCAATGCTGATGATTGTGACGATGTAAGAATGATGATGCTGAGGTTAGTGATGATGAGGAATATGCTGCTGCTGCCGATGATGATGATGATGATGATGATGATGATGATGATGATGATGCTGGTGATGACGATGCTAGCGATGATGCTAATATTTCTCTTGTTATGATGATGCTAATGTGGATGATACTGATCATGCTTGTGATGCCGATGATTACGATGATGCTGATGATGATGGCACTGATGATGGTGATTTGATGATTTTATGGTTTGATACAAATTGCGATGCTTTGTTTGGTCTGATGCTTGGATGGTCACGGCGATGATGATGATTGTGATGCTGATGGTGAGGATGATGTAGGTAATGGTGCTGATGATGATAAGGGTGATGATGATGCTGCTGCTGATTCTGATGCTGATGCTGCTGATGATGATGCTGCTGCTGATGCTGCTGCTGATGTTGATGCTGATGATGATGCTGATGATGATGGTGATGATGATTACGCTGGTGATGCTGGTGACGATGATGATGGTGATGATGGTGATGATGTTGATGATGATGATGATGATGATGAGGCTGAAGCTGTGGCCGAGTCTGAGGCTGAGGATGCTGCTGCTGCTGAAGGTGATGATGCTGCTGATGATGATGATGAAGATGATGCTGATTACGATGATAATGATGATGATGGTGATGGTGATGGTGAAGATGATGGTAATGATGATGATGCATCTGCTGATGATGATGATGCTGATGCTGATGATGATCATGAAGATGCTGATGATGATGCTGATGATGATCCTTATGATGATGCTGATGATGACGATGCTGACAATGGTGATGATGCTGATGATGATGATGATGACGATGCTGATGCTGATGCCGATGATGATGATGATGATGTTGCTGCTGATGATGCTGCTGTTGTTGATGCTGATGACGATGGCGACGATGATGGTGATGATTATGACTATGATGATGCTGATGCTGCTGCTGCTGATGATGATGATGATGATGATGATGATGTCGATGATGCTGATGATGATGACGAAATGATGATGATGATGATGATGCTGATGCTGATGATGCTCATGAAGATGCTGATGATGATGCTGATGATGATCCTTATGATGATGCTGATGATGACGATGCTGACAATGGTGATGATGCTGATGATGATCCTGATACTGATGTTTATGCTAATGATGATGCTGCTGACGCTGATGCTGATGATGATGATACTGGCACTGATGATGATGATGCTGATGATG